AATCACAATGTTTAAAAAAAATAAAAAAACTAAGGCAATGATATATAAAAATCCCAAAAAGGAACAAACTCACAGCTGCAATAAGGTGTACCAGATCACGTCGGGCTCACCAATGATGATGTCACAGGAATTCCGTGTTTGACAACGCTTCTACCAGTAACACCTAATATATTTCGTTCCCGCCCAGAGAAATCAAAAGACAGAGTCGAGGAGATCGGAAGAGTATATTTGGCGATGACCAATATATCGGAATTCTCTGATCTAATCTGGCTAGCGATTGCGGTTGATGTTGAGCACGGCGTTACCGCACGTGATCTGGTGCGGATGCCTGACCGAGCGCCTTCAGCTAGATGAGTCCACTAAAACATATGGTCAGCATCCAATGTCGAAAACTTAGAGCTACTTATTTTGGGGATTTATTTACCGCTACAATACAAACACCACCCACACTCAAACAGATTCTACTATTTTTTTACACTTATGGATCGTTTGACAGAACAACCAGAAAGTTTTGTTATTAAATTTCATCTTAGGATCACTTGGACACTTGAGTCACTCATCGGTTATTAGGACTCATTGTAGGTAGCGGTTCTAGTTCATCTTATACATACATGACAAAACTTTTAAGTCTGCTTTGCAACTGAGTATACAGCAAAATGGAGAGATGCACCGGAAACATCAATAAAACTGTTAGTATGTACTGTTAAGTATTTATCAAACCGCCTGTAAATAGAGATGCGCATTGAAACTAATGTAACTTGTTAGGTCGTATGATGTTGCTATCAGGTGACACGTACATGTTAATGCTTGCATAGTCACTGTGGCAGAATAGTGAAGTAGAGCAGTAGTTAAACAAATCAGAGCAGTGATTCTATTAACCATCGTCTTGCTCTTTGCATTTCAGCCGGGAGCGCACTAGTTCATATGTCTTTGAGTCGTGAGCCACAATCCTGAAAGCTGATATGGCTTGTGTGCTTTACAGGCACAGAATAATCCCATTACACTTACGATTAAGTCTGTCAGCGCTATAAAGAAACTAAACAATTGAATTCCACTACCATACACTTCTGACGTTAACTATGTCCCTTTCAAGTCTAATTGTTCTTGAGAAATTAACTTCTGAGTTATCTAATTGAAGACACTTAGTTCGGGATGAATCGAAAATAACATCCCACTAACCTGTTAGACGTATAAAGCTAGCTAACAGTGGCTGTTTCCAGATAGTCTGGAATAACAGTGTTATGACTTTAGGCTGCCAATAGGTTGTATAGTTAGTGAAATTCTCCTCAGAACTAGTTGATGTACTCGATATGCTGGAACTACAGTTAATGCTTCCTAAAATATACTTGACTACTTTTTAAGAACGGTCTTAAATATCAAACAGTATAAGCTAAATGACAGCAAGTCCTAAAAATATAACTTTTTTTGGCCAAAATTCGCCTGCGTAACCTCTGTCACATAACTCATTCACATGGTCGGGCAGGTTACCAATCAATAAACCATTCATCGACTAAACAGGATTCAATATGAATTTAATGTAAAATTGTAATATATTACAAGCAATGCAAAATTTAAGAAAGTTAGTTAACAGCTTCAGACATTTCATCAGAGAGGCTTTTACCAATAATATGACATTCTTGTTAATGAATGAAAAGTACTGCTTCAATTCTAAATGGTTAGAATCAGCTAAGCCATTCAATGAAGCAGGTACACTTCGATGAAATTACAACAGTTATCCGTTAAATTAACGTATACAAATTAATTAAAGCCTATACTTACAATACTTACTTACTTACGCCTGTTACTCCTCGTGAAGGAGCATAGGCCGCTCACCAGCGTTCTCCATCCAACCCTGTCCTGGGCAATCCTTTCTAGCTCCGTCCAGTTGTAATTCATCGTTTTCATATCTGCTTCTATTATCCGACGCAATGTGTTCTTCGGCCTTCCTCTTTTTCGCTTCCCTTCAGGATTCCAAGTTAGGGCTTGCCTCGTGATGCAGTTTGACGATTTGCGTAATGTATGTCCTATCCATTTCCATCGTCTTTTCCTAATTTCTTCTTCAGCTGGAAGTTGGTTTGTTCTCTCACAGAGTAGGCTGTTGTTGATGGTATCCGGCCAATGAATGTTGAGTATCTTGCATAGACAGCTATTTATAAATACTTGTACCTTCTTGATGGTGGTTGTTGTAGTTCTCCAAGTTTCAGCTCCGTACAGTAGAACTAACTGTCTTGACGTTCGCATTGAAGATTCTCACTTTGATATTGGTTGAAAGTTGTTTTGAGTTCCATATGTTCTTCAATTGTAGGAATGCGACCCTTGCTTTGCCGATCCTCGCCTTTACGTCTGCATCTGAGCCTCCTTGTTCATCGATGATGCTTCCCATGTATGTGAAGGATTCTAAATCTTCCAGAGTTTCGCCATCAAGAGTGATTGGATTGCTGTTTTCCGCTTTGAATTCGAGGACCTTAGTTTTCCCTTTGTGTATGCTGAGGCATACTGATGAAGAGACTGCTGCTACACTGGCTGTCTTCATCTGCATCTGTTCGTGTGTACGTGATAGGAGGGCTAGGTCATCTGCGAAGTCCAAATCGTCTAATTGATTCTGAGCTGTCCATTGTATTCCGTGTTTTCCTTCAGATGTTGAGGTCTTCATAATCCAGTCGACCACCAGAAGAAAGAGGAAGGGAGAGAGTAAATAGCCTTGTCTGACTCCGGTCCTTACTTGGAATGCATCTGTCAGCTGTCCTCCATGCACGACCTTGCACTGTAGTCCGTCGTATGAGTTCCGGATAATATTGACAATCTTCTCAGGAACTCCGTAGTGTCGAAGAAGTTTCCATAACGTCCTCCTGTCTACACTGTCGAATGCCTTTTCATAATCAATGAAGTTGATGTATAGTGATGAGTTCCACTCAACTGATTGTTCGACGATGATCCATAGTGTTGCAATTTGGTCTGTGCACGACCGATCCTTACGGAATCCAGCTTGTTGATCTCGAAGTTGGGCGTCTACTGCATCCTTCATCCGGTTCAGCAACACTCTGTTGAAGACTTTCCCTGGTATTGACAGTAGTGTTATGCCTCTGTAGTTTTCACATTTGCTCAGACGAGGTGTCCTTCTTTCCAGTCCATTGGCACTTGTCCCTCCTCCCAAATCTTTTTGAATAGAAGATAAAGCATGCTTGTGGTTGTTTCGATGTCTGATTTCAGTGCTTCAGCTGGTATGTTGTCGGGTCCTGCTGCTTTCCCGTTCTTGATTTGTCTGACGGCCATTCTAATTTCTTCCGTAGTTGGTGGATTGACATCTATAGGAAGATCTATGTGTGCTGCTTCGATGTCCGGTGGATTCATTGGAGCCGGCCTATTCAGGAGTTCCTCGAAGTATTCTACCCATCTGTTACGCTGTTGTTGAATTTCGGTGATTGGCTTGCCTTCTTTGTCTTTGACCGGCCTCTCTGGTTTACTGTATTTCCCTGCTAGTTTCTTCGTTGTATCGTAAAGCTGTTTCATATTTCCTTCTCTAGCAGCTTTTTCTGCCGTCGTTGCTAGTTCTTCCACGTATTTCTTCTTGTCGGCTCTAATGCTCCTCTTCACTTGCTTGTTTGCTTCTATGTATTCAGCTTGTGCTTGGACTTTCTCTGCTAGTGTTCGGCTGTTGTTTATTGCTGCCTTCTTGTTCTTCCTTTCTTTGATCTTGTCCACTGTTTCTGTAGAGATCCATTCCTTATGATGGTATTTCTTTAGACCGAGAACCTCTTGACACGTTGAAGTTAATGCTTCCTTGATGCCTTTCCAGTTGTCCTCCATAGTAGTTTCTTCTTCTTTCAGTAGATCTCGTAAGGCTTGGAACCTGTTGTTGAGAGCTATCTTGAATTCATTGAGTTTGACAGTATCTCAAAGGAAGGCTGTATTGAACCTTTGTATTGCTGTTTGTCCACTTGTCCAGTTCTTCTTTAGCTTCAGTTTTAGATTGGCTACAACTAGGTGGTGATCTGAAGCTACGTCAGCACCTCTCCTGGTTCTCACATCTTCCATTGTCCTTCGGAATTTTTTGTTAATGCAAATATGATCTATTTGGTTCTCTGTAGTGTGGTCCGGTGAGATCCATGTAGCCTTGTGTATACGCTTGTGTGGAAATATTGTGCCTCCTATGACCAATTTGTTGAATGCACATAGATTTGCAAATCTTCACCCATTTTCGTTTCTTTCTCCCAGTCCATGTCGTCCCGTAATATCTTCATATCCAGTGTTGTCTATTCCGACTTTGGCATTTAGATCTCCCATTAGAATGGTGAGGTCCTTTCTTGGGCATTTCTCTATCACTGACTGCAGCCGCTCGTAGAATTGATCTTTAATGTCGTCGTTGCTATCATTAGTGGGTGCATAACATTGGATAATATTCATTAAGATCCCCTCCTTCTTTGTTTTGAATGATGCTTTGATGATTCTGGATCCGTGAGATTCCCATCCTACAAGTGCATTTCGTGCTACTTTGGACAGCATAAGAGCGACTCCCTGAGTGTGTGGAGCATTGTCCTCTTCGTGACCGGAGTATAGCAGCATCTCTCCCGTAGCTAGCCTTTTCTGTCCAGCTTGGGTCCAGTGGGTTTCGCTGATTCCCAGTACTGCTAAGTTGTATCTCCTCATTTCCATTGATATTTGACTGGTCTGCCCGGTTTCCCACATTGTTCGAACGTTCCATGTACCTATAAAAATTTTTGCTCTGGTTGTTAGAAGGGGCATCGGCCTCGTGGCTTCCGAAGGAACTCGGCTTTCACCATGAAGCGTCATAATTCTTCTAAATGAAGACCTTCTAACTCCCAGGGCAGAGTTAAAATGGTTTGGATTATTTTTTCTGGTAAGCGTTTTTTTAGCGAGTTAGTTTTCTACGGGATGGGGACGCTAACCCCATGCCCAACCCTCCTCCTTTACCCGGGCTTGGGACCGGCAGCAACCCTATAAGAGCTACAGGCGGAGTTATACTTACAATATTAGGCATTAAAGAAATACTTTTTATTTATGAATATTCTTTTGATAATTAAAATAACCCATAGTGTCATTGAATAAGAATAAGAAAGAGAATTCAGCGAAGAAAATTTTCTTTTGGACGAAATCATTATCTGACCCATAAACGATTTTCTTCCTTACCCTTTGATTAGTACATAACCTCATTTGTTATTTATCCTCGAATCCATTTTGGTAATGCAATTTTTTCTATCCTCCTATAGACATACATTTTCCATATACCTATATATACGAATGTACAGCTTAAGTAAATGATTTCGTCGAAATGAAAATTTTCTTCGCTAAATGCTCTTTTTCTTATGGAATATTCTTTTCAACAGTCTTACATATGAAATTTTATTGTGTTAGAAGTCATAAACAATGAATATTAATTCACAATTCTAAGGAAATATACAGATATTTAAGTGAGGATTTTAGATATTTTAAATTTGAGTAAAAAAAAAGTTTAAACACTTTAAATGATCAATCAACAAATGGTTTAATTTTATGAAATTTTTGACACAAAATATTTAAGTCAATCAAATACAAGATTAGGTGATATAATTGAAATAAGATAATAAAATCATTCATTTATGACATCTAATTATTTACTATAATTTCATCATTATATACATTATAATGTAATTTATACTTGATATTGAAAGCTTGAACATGATATACTTTATAAAAAGAGATAAAATACTCAAATAAACTTAATTAATATTCTCAATGATAATAAAGGATATTGTGCGTAGTTATAAACTAATAAAAAGGCTTATTAGGAATGTAAACTTTAACGATAAATAAAATCACAAAATAAAAGGAAAACAAAAGTAACAATTAAAGGGAATAAATTTGAATAATAATGTGATACAAAATATTACTAATATATGTATGAAGTATTATTATGCTATGTCACTTTACATTATGTTACACTAAATGTTAAAGTAGAAGAGTAAAAATTAATCAGTAAAGATATTCATTTATGATTATGATTATTATTATGCTAAGCAAATAAAATTACAGTTTATTTAAATCATGATTGAACCTTGACGACTTCTTCGAGTTTTTGGATAACCTGAGTCTACAAGAAAGCGCTAAGAAAGAAAAAAAACAAGTGGATTAAAAAAAAATAAATAAGTATATGTTTACTTTAGTTTAAGCAGTGAAAATTTTATTTTAAATAATTGAGATCATGAACCGATTGATGTTAGACCACTAACACCTGGAAGCACTGGATGGCCGTTTCGTCCTATTGTGGGACTCTTAAGCAGTGCGCATCCACGACCCCGCTCACGAGATTCGGTTCATGATGGATTTTATGATCTCAAGTAAAAACGTAATAATCTCCACAACTATACTGATAACAGTAAATAAACTTTTCTTAAAAATAAATGTTAAGGACTATCTATGTACAACTGTTAAGAAACTACTTGATCAATAAGTATATATGAACAAATAATTTGGTAAAAGAACTACGTAACACTCAGTAGAGAAAAAAAACATACTTCGGTAAAATAATTTGTAAATAATCTTAACTCTATAAGATCGTAGAGTAATTAAGAATAACTTCGTTTTGTGATTGACTCTTTTATTTCTAACTGAATTCATGTGTTGATCTAAGCTAGAGTACTATCTTTTATTTCCATCAGAAGTTATATTATCTTTCGGTACTTTGCAAAACGAATTTTACAAGCTTAAAACCATTATCTCATTATGTATATAAACATTCAGATCACGTTAGTGGTCAGTTCTTTATTTGTGTAAAATAACAAATTACTAGATTTGTTTGTACACAGAGAATAATAATAAGATATATGTAGTGTACAGGCGATATAAACTTTGTAAAGGTTAGTTAGAGATGTATTCATAAGTAACTAATGGTAAAACTCTTCGGTATTGTACGGTCCATTACAATTGCTATCGAATTCAAACAAGTTTACTGCTTAATCAGCGGTTCTGTTACCAATTTATAAAAATAATGACAGTAAAGTAAGATTTAATAATGCAACACTATCATCTGGTATGAAGTTCCTGTAAAACTATTAACAATAACTGTCAATTCTACATAACAGTAAAAAAATTTGATAAATTAAGGAAAATATTTGACATTTCTCCCCGAAATCACTATCTTGCTAAGATTCATCCATTCGAAATTTCATCCGAATGTATGGCAAGTATGACAGAATTTTGTTATGTACTAAGAAAAATGTCTATCAGCATTCATTGATAAATTTCAGTACACTAATAAGTTCTATCCTCGGAAAGTGCCACCGATCGTTTCAACTATAACGCCAGACCACCAAGCGCATCATTGAGTACAATTTCGGGGTTGATACAATATATAACCAAAAGGAAATGTCGTAGTAGCTTTCTGTGCGATTAAAACGTAATCCATTTAAGTAATAGAAAATATTCTTTTTAAATTGCGTTACAAACAAGTAAGTATACAATTCAAAATATTTCTTTTTGACAAACTTTCTATAAATGATAGCGGTAATAAAAATTTAAAAGTACACTTTGTGATAGGATTTAAATTAATTAATTAATTAATAGGATGATAAAAATAGGCCTTATTCATTGACTTGGATTAACTCTTGCCATGCAAGTTTACGAATAGTATATTTTACATAAGAATGTTAAGACAAAACCGTATTACAATAAAATCAAACTTTTTAATTAACCGAACTCTGAACAAATAAATGTTAACATCATCTGAACAATATACTGACTGTTTCCGGTAAAATGACAATCAATTACAAATCAGTAGAAACGTCAAATTATCAGATAACTCCTGTTTATCAATCTTTTCTTATTATTGATAAAGACTATGTTGTTACTATAACAATGAACTACTGAGATTTCTTAACATACCAAAATGTTGCATTTCCACTACTGAATGGAAAGAAAAATGTGATGGAAGTACATTTTTTTGGCTTATAATAACAATAATAATCTAATATATTCTCTTTAGGAAAATTGATTTTTATCAAATACTAAGTTAGTTGAACGACTAAATACTTAACTTTTCAAAAAACAAAAATCAGTAGTACATTAAGGAAATGAGAAAGCCAACTAAAAAATGTCAAATTAATCAATCGAATAAATATTCATACTCTTACATCATTCTCCAAAGGTGAATCAGATTCTTCAGTATCATATTGTGGATGATGATTATATCTGTTATGAATTCCAACAGATATAGGATTTATGCGATTAGATTCTTTCATTTGTCTGTCATGTTGCAATGCCTGTTATGTAATACACAAACATATTTATATAATAATAAGAAATCGAACCGACTGATCAAAATACAAATTGGCTTCAAATTTTTCCCAGTTACGAACGACCGAATAGGTTTGTTTTCATAATCTTAACGTAAGTACAAGGCGCAACTACATATGCTTCTACCAACTTTTTCTGGATTTATTTAAGCACATGCTGGTTTTGTGTGCTATGTTTGATTTACTGCTAATATTTCTTCGCTGATAAATTATTTTCATCCCAGTAACTTTAAAATTGTTTTGGTTCATATTATTAAATTGACCTCTAAATTCTCGCCAAAGTAATTTAGCATACTTGAATTGTGTCTGACAATGAAATCAAGGACGTGAGCTTTATTTTGGACTCGTCTTCTGTGTATATTATTATTATTATTATTATTATTATTATTATTATTATTATTATTATTAATGGCTCTATTTCACATATATTTCCATTTAGGTATTGACGTTTAACCTGAGACTCGAATTTAGTCTCTGTCGATTCAGATTCCGACGCATTTTACACTAAGTTATTGAGTAAAGATAGTACTAGTTTGTTTACCGCTTGTGATATTTATTCGTAAGAGTATGTGTTATCACGCTGTTTTTATTTGGGACTGAATTTTACTTAGTCTTTCCTTCAATTTAGAATCAAGAAGGTTATGAAGAGGCATGTGCTAATAAGCACATATACAAAAAAAGATTGATTAAAATTTCATCGTGAATATTAACGGGATAATGCAAACTCTTGTGAGTTATCATAACAAATTAGATCAATTGTAATTATAAAACGTAGAGTAGAATAATTCACTAGATATCAAGCAACATGTCATTCAAGAGATATTTAGCGATACTACTTAGTTAAGTAACTCCACGTGTAACTCTTCTAGGGTTAATGCTGGTTTCAATCTCAAGTAAAGGAGGATGGTTGGGAATGAGGTTAGAAACACAATCTCGTTGAATACAACCCTGCTAAAAAATGTCAACCAGAATAGATACATAAAACCATCGTACGGAACTAATACGACAGACTACACTGCAATGACGTTTATAGAGGAGATCTGACAGATGCATTCCATGTGAGGACCGGTGTCGGATAAGGCTGCTACCTCTCGCCCATTCTCTTTCATTTGCCGGTTGACTAGAGTTTAAAGACCTTGAAAAGTCTTGTTAATATGAACGCTTTATTCGATTCTTAAGCTATTCTGATAACCCGCAAGCTAGAACTAAGAAGCGACCTGAACTCGAGAGAAAAGGTGCAAAATAAGCGAAAAACACTTTACTCCAAAGGTTCAGTTTTGTACAGAAAAACACGATATTTATAGATGTTAACAGTTGTTAAATCAACATCATATTTTGGCCAATCCGCTGAAAGACATATTATGCTGCTGACCAATAGTAGCACGCCACATTGATATTCTAGAAAGCTCCATCACGCTCTGATTGGCTAGGGCTCTTCGGCTCCTTTAGGGCCTCTGGAGGCTTCGTTGCAGTTCTCGGAAAGCCGACTCAACAGACACCTTTATATCTCAAGGGAAGCGCAGAATACAATGGACAGTTTCCATGCAACTAGACGATTTGGGCTTCATACATGATCAAGCCCTTCTATCTCATAAACACCAACAAGTGTAGATGAGGGAAACTAGTGTAGCGGCAGCCTCTGCATCAGCAGGCCTCAACATACACAAGGGAAGAAGCAACATCCTCAAATACAACAGGGAGAACACCAACCAACCCAATCGCACTTGATGGAGGAACTCCAGAACAGATGGAATATTTCACGTAGATGGACGAAATCATCGATGAACAAGGAGGATCTGATACACACGTAAAGGCAAGGATTGTCGAAGCAAGAACAGTATTTCTGAAGTTTAAGAACATATGGAACTCAAAACAACTAAATGCAAGCCAACATCAAAGTGAGAATTTTCGGTATGAACGTCGAGACAGTTAGTTCTATTGTACGGAGCTGGAACGCTCAGAACTACTACAATTATCATCAAAATTGTACAAGTGTTTATAAACAATTGTCTGCACAAGATACTCAATGTCTGTTCACTGGATACTATCAGCAACACCCACTGTGGCAGAGAATAAACCAGGTTCTAGCTGGGGAGTGAGTTAGAAAAAGATGTTGGAGGTGGATAGGATATACATTATGCAAATCATCAAACTGCATCATGAGACAAGCAGTAACTTGTATTACTGAAGATGAATGGAAAAGAGGAAGGCCTAGGAACATATTGAGACGGGAATCGGAAGCAGATATGAGAAGTGGGAATAGCAACTGCAAAAAACGAGATGGGATTTTGTAGGACCGAGTTCTATGGAAAATCTTGGTGTGCGGCTTATACTCCTCTTCGAGGGTTAACGGGTGCAAGTAAGTCATTATTAATCTAGCAAAGTAAAATAATATTAATTTACAGCAATTGTTTCCGCAATTTAGTCGATTTTTTGATACATTTACTGGGTAAAGTGGAAATAGTTTTAAAGAGATAATTTACTGACAAATCTATACGTGAAAAGCAAACTGTAATAATGTTATCAACCACTTCGTGGAGCTTTACACTGTGTTGTTAAAATGAACTTCTACTGATCCACAAAACATTTCTCAAATTCCAAGTACAATATTATAACATTTTGTCATGTGGTATAAACTGGTAAATGGCCTAATATATAAATTTACCTGATTAGGCGATAAACGATGTTCATGAGATGGCGAATAAATATTCTTTTCAGTATTATTCCAAACAGTCCGTACTTCATTATGTGGTTTGTGACGATAATCATCTGCTAATAAAATAAAAAACAGCTTTTTGAAAAAAGTTTGAAGTAGTGTGGTTTGTGCTACTTATGCTGACAGGTATAAGTAGTATGTAGCAACAATCAGGATTGAAATGCCTGCCAGAAGAAGATTGAATTGAAGAGGATAGGAACGGAAAAGAATGGCAATTGAAAAAATAACGATGCAAAGGACAAATGAAGGAGGATGTTCAAATAATTGGTTTAATGTATGATTTTCATATTTCGCTAAGACTTTGTGTAAGTTTGTATTAACAAGAAAAATTGGTTTTCCAGACCGGAGTTTTCTTTCATAACGGTAGTTCTCCATTAGTTATTTGAATGAATTTTTTAAAATTAGGATTTATAATCGATTATATTTTAAGCCTCAATACAATTAATGTTCAAATGATTTCAGCATACAAAAATTGACAATTAGCTAAAATATGTATGGTATTTAACGTGGTGCTTGAAGGTAGTCGACATGAAACACTGGAATTGGGTTCCGTGCCATTTATTTCCCTTTCAGCTAACTCAAATTACCACCCTACATCTCAACATAGTGCATGCGATATCATTCACCTAAAATAGTGGTTAAACCGCAACCTGGTCGACAGAATTCGATCTGAACTAAGAAGTACCCGGTACACATGACATTGGTCACCACCCAGTGATCGGTCAATTATAAAGATATACAAGGAACAAACATAGGACTGTTTATTCAGTTAGAAAAATGGCATGCCCCCATTACGATGAAATATGTTAATTATAAAGTGCAATGTTGAATACTACACCTAGCAAAAATTCAGTGTTTATATTTGAAAATAGAATAATATTGCTTGACCTTCAGTTAAATTTTTCATAAGCATTATAACTTAACCGAATACGTTGTCTATAATTTATTTCCCTGAAATATTTAGTCGGTTGTGCGACTTTTTTATATTTTTTTCCAAATAAATTCAGCATTGGGTGGGAAGTTAAGAAAAAGTACATTTTTGTGATCTCGGAATGAGTAGAAAAATGTATTTCTGACGTTTCGTGACTTAATATAAGTCACTTCTTCAGAGTGAAGTTGCGCAATTGTTGTGTTCTCTGATATCCATTTGACCGAAATTCGAATTTTGAGATTGTGAATGAATCGTTGGTCCGTTCACTTCATTCTATTCAATAATTACACTAGTCAGTTAAGTAAAAAAAATGTTCAAAGCATTCTTAAACTTATCAAGCATTATGATTATCCAAGAATTAAATTGTTAAAAAACTATGATGTTTAAATTCCAGACCGAATGAATAAAAAGTATGAGACTGAACTAATTTAAAATAGCATTCCAGTTAAGCTGATAAGCGCAGGATTAAATTCTCATAAATCTATATATTCTATTCTATGTAATACTTTAAGACAAATCTTACGTTTCAGCTTCAGGACTTTTATGCATAACTCAGCAGTTGAATTGGAATTGTTCCAGTGACTCTAAACTAAACGGTTATCATTACCGCAGCCTATGTGTTAAAGTTTTCCTAACCTAACCAATAGCTGTTACATTCATGTTTCTTTATTAAAATAATTCTATTTCAACTAAATAAATCTTTAAAGCCATGAGAAAGTATTTTTTCACTAAACCATTCACATGTTTGAACAATGTGTGGTAATAGAGATGAACAGCTATAGTTGAATCAGTCAGTCAGTAACAACGTGGAACTTCGTACGTATGTACATCAGTTCAAGTTCCCACACCACATTAACACAGAGATGCAGTTGTCGATTCAAATCCCGTAGTGGCAGAGGTGGTAAGAGTATAAGCAGTGATCGGAAACATTAGAGTTTGAACATGTTATTCAACGAGTATAATACAGTGAAATAAATTTGGAAAGAGGAAAAAAGGAAGCGACATGAAGAATTCAGAAGATTAGAATTTGGGAGAACACAAAGAGTGGATGCACCTGCGCCATTGCATACGATTTCGAGCCATGTCATTCAGGGTCTCTAACCATCGGTTGCTATCATCTCGTGGACCCCAACCACGTAGTCTACACCTACCAACATGGATCAGTCCACCTGTCAGTGACCTCATGGATTTGTGTCATGTTTTGGTCTGGCCGCCCCTAGCTTTCTTCCAACCTACTCCTACACCATAAAACATCGCACGTCGGTGCAGTCGGTTGTTGGGCATACGAAACACATGTCCCAGCAATCTCAACTGATGAAGTTTCACCACTTCATCAATTGATTTGCCATCCTTGCCTACTACCCGTTTCCTAACAACTGCATTACTTACTCGATGGTCCCAGGATATACGACCAATGTTTCGAAGACATCTATGATCAAATACTAGTAACCCACGAATATCCTCGTCTCTTACCGGCCATGTTTCACTGCCATAAAGTAGGACGGAACGAACTGCTGCGCAGTAAACACGTCCTTTGGTTGGTAGACCGATATTCCACCTACACCATAAATGACGCAAGTTGGCAAAAGCTAGTCGAGCCTTCTGTATCCGTGCTGAGATTTCGTCACACACCAAACCACAAGGGCTGATGAGACTTCCAAGATAAGTGGAGCGGTCGACACGCTCAACTACTTCGCTCCCTATCATTAGTTCGGGTGTCAATGCAACCCAATCCTGAAGCAACATTTTGCATTTCGAGGGAGAGAATCGCATCCCGAACATGCTTGCATTGTTGCCTAGAGTGGTCAGAAGACTGCATTTTGTCAGCATTTTCACCAAATAAAACTATGTCATCGGCACATTCTAAGTCAACAAGTGAATCTCCTGGCAGAACTACAACCTCTGGAAATTTAGATGAAGAAAGTTTCAGCTCTAAAAGCACGTCAACGACAAAGTTAAACAAGAATGGAGAGAGTGGACAACCCTGACGAACATCACTTGAGGTAATCAATTCTGATAACAGTTCACCATAAGCTCTCACTCGACCAGTTGTATTCGAGTAGAGAGCCTTTATAAGGTTAATGTTCTTCTTTGGTACTCCTTTCAGTGACAAACACTGCCATAGAACCTCACGATCAACAGAGTCGAATGCCGCCTTAAGGTCGAGAAATACTACCATTGTGGGGCGTCTGAACGTGTGTCTGTGTTCTAGAACCTGACGTAGTGTGAATATCTGATCTATACAACCACGTCCAGGTCGAAAACCGGCCTGGTTTTCTCTAAACTGCTCTTCACGAGCTTTGATAAGCGTCGAAGTATTATTGAAGCTAATATTTTAGACACTATATTAGTCAAACTGATTCCTCTGTGATTGTTACAAGAGGACTTTTGTCCTTTCTTATAGACTGGCACAATCAGTGATTGAGACCAGTCAGATGGGATTACGTCCAGTTCCCAAATTCTACCTAAGACTTCGGTTAATCTCGCTTCTAATACTGAACCACCATCCTTAAAAATCTCAGGAGTAAACCTGTCAGGGCCTGCTGCTCTCCTCGCTTCTGATTTCTTATGGCTTTTTCAACTTCGTAAAGAGACGGAGGACCTACATTAACTTGCCATTCAGGCTGACTGGAGATCGTGGGAAACCGAAGTGTGGTTGAAGGCCAGTTAAACTGATCTCTGAAGTGTTCTGCCCATCGATCCAATCTCCTGGATTAAGAATGAATAATATGTCCATCTTCCTCTGTAATTGTTTCGCTAACTGTCGGTTTCCTAATACCGGTTTCCTTAACAAGTCTGAACAATTGTCTGCTATTACCTATTGCCGCTGCCTTTTCCATCTCTCTTGCTTTCGCTACCCACCACTGTTCACGATCATTGCATAGGCTTCTTGTCAGCTTGCGCTTATCATTCCATGCTACCTCGAGGTGGGCATCACATACATGGCTGCCTAACTGTTTTTCTAGTTGTTCCTGAAATATACTCTTAGCTTGATTATTATTATTAAGTAGGACCCTAAGAGCTGCAACAGACGGTCGCCATTATCTGATTTTTGAGCCACGACACCATAAGATCCACCCAGGTGTATTTACCTTTCGCTCAGTTTACCTACTTGAGCACTAAAGTCACCAGCCACTATTACTACATTAGAGCGCCTAGCTTTTCAGAGAAGCTTTCTGTAAAACTTATCTTTTACATCATCTGAGCTGCAGTCACTGGGAGAATAGGCAGAAACGACGAAGAGGCAACAACGAGTGTCCCTATCTTTCCGAGTCCCTACTGTTCCGTTTAGTCGAACAGCGCACAAACCATTGTCTACTGGGATCCACTCTAAGAGAGCTAGTTCTGCCATAGGACTCAATGCTATACCTTCGCCGGCGTGGTCACGAGAAGCAGAATCAGGGCTTCCAGATACAAGAAGTGTGAATCGAGTCGGTTCTTTATTTTGGCATGGTGAGATCAAATGAATGACGCTACTCAGATCCTAAATGCGCGTTTCGGAGACGCAGCACACATCGATGGAGCGGGATTCTAAAGTCCTAGCTTAGGAAGCCTGCTGTCCTATTTGGCACAGTGTTCGGACGTTAAAAGCTCCTACGTCTAGTTTAGAGCGTGGTTTCAGGAGACTAACAATAATGTTCCGCGTACTCGAATCTTTTGCTCTAGTGGTGTGAGGTGATAAAAAGACGTGTTAAGAGTTAGTCGTGAAGATAAGAGTTATTAGGAGGTGTAGGAAGGATTTGAATGTGACCAACTTGGTCTCGTTTGCTGTTACGGGTATGAGGGCTGATATCACTTCCCGGTTGCCCACACCGTGGAAGGGTATTTCTTGAGGAACCTGAAAAGGAAACTGGATTAATGTTGGTCTTAACGACCTGAGAGCGTGACCGCAGAGCCCAAGGGACAACTACTTGAGGCCGGTCGCGCACGGCCTTTCCGTGGGAGGTTTTCAATGTGTCAAGGTAGCAGCTACGGTCGGGCTATAGTTGAATAAATCGAAATAAGAATTATTTCCCACGGTTTTCCATGTAGCTATCACTTCATGAAAAGTCTTGTATTTTAACATTACAGTGGCAATATTATTAATCACAGCATTATTATTTTTGCCAACCATTTTTATTCAACTATAGAATGAATGAATACTTGAATAAAAATGGTTGGCAAAAAATAATAATGCTGTGATTAATAATATTGCCACTATAATGTTAAAATACAAGACTTTTCATGAATTGATAGCTACATGGAAAACCGTGGGAAATAATTCTTATTCACATTTATCTTAACGTACTCTTTCTCTATTATTTGAATATTAATGATTATATAACTAATTCAAAATAATTCATTTGAAATTCGGTGATTTAAAGCAATACATTCAATTCTAGGACATAACTGAAAACTTAACATCTTAATCATAATTAAGTTTCTAGGTATTTCTACTAATTTACACTTATAATTCTTGATTTTTTACAACTTAAGATTATTAATTAGTAACATACAACAAGGGGTAATGTGTTTGTAACTGCGGTAATTTACAACTGTACCTACCATCTGAAAGTAATTCTTGTTCATCCACGTAACGTCGTCTATTATTTTCGAATTGAGTTGAACCTCGTCTTGGTGAAGAAATTGAATTTGAATAATCTCTAGATCCATTATAATCTTGATCAATTTTGCCTTTTCTTTTGTCATTTTTAAATGCATTACTTTGACGTCGATGCGTTCCATGTGACATCTCGTTTTCAACAGACTGATTTGAGTTTGCACCTGTCCCAATTCCAAGGATACGTTCAGCTTTTGTGACTTTACCAGTTGGATGACTGGCTCTCCAATATGCTTCTAAATATTCAGCTAAATGTTCACAGGCATCTGGAAGTTGGTTTTCTTCTAAAATCACATCAAACTGATCCTTAAAAAATTTAAAAAACATATAATTAAAAACCAAAATAAATTAATTTACTTTATTTAATTTTTACGTTTCGTATTGTGGAAAGATACCAATAATTAATCGCAAAAAGCCCCACAAGAAATCAAAATTGACAAAAGTAATTTCGGCCAGTCTGCACTCCTGATGAAATTCAGTAAATTTTATAAGTCAGCCTATTTATCTTCGTTGATTTTATTAATCAAACAGACAAGTCATCAGCAATTGTGGGATACTTTCTAAAAATCCCCTGAACTCGAAGATAACCGAATAAATAATTTTTGACTTGCCGAAATGAATCTACGAAAGTGTAACATTATTGAACTATTGATAATGATAAAAGCTATCAGAAATCATGACAGCAATATATGTCAACAACATATCGACTAAAAAAATATTTCCAAGTAGTGTACTGATGAAAACTGAACCAGTAATAAACCGCTGTTCAATACTTACTATAAACCCAAATTATGTGGCGAGTATCATCAACCAATAACGTCCCGTGTGCGGGATTGTGGATACACACTGCTGAGGAGTCTCATACTAGGACGGAACGACAAACTAGTGCTTCCAGGTTTTCAATAGTGGTCTAGCTTAGATCGACTCATGAATCCAACCACCAAAATTATTACAATCTTCACAAACCACCATCCTGACGAAAAAATCTATTTATACAACATAATTTACTAACAAACAAAGAGGTCTGAAGAAACTCCTACATAGACAGCGATTCATATTGTGAGTCGTAAAAAGTATTTTTCAGGTTGTTTAGCAATGAAAATATTTTAAACAATGTGAAATGAGAGCTTGACATTTACTATATATATAACATTTAGTTAATAAAGCATTTCTTTCTAAACTCCAATTGTGTTATACGGAAGTAGTTTGGAAGAAATATTTCACTTAAAACTACACGTAACTATTTTTAAAAACGTGTTGAAACAAATATATGACTTGGGCATAGAGAATTATATACATGTATGATGAAGGAGTTTACGTAAATTCATAAGACATTCACACAAATAAATGTTTTGAGATTTTAGCACAACATCACACAGTAAAATTATGTATAAATCCCGTAAGATAACCGAATAATTAATCACGGGAATTTGAAGATGTTAAGCACCAAACAAAAAGCACATAATTCTAATCTTGTTCTTCTGCTGTCATACTCCTTAACGGTCCGACTTATTTTATTCAAACGTTTCTTCAATGATGATCAATTTGGTTTGATCTTTTACGCTTAATTGTTTTAAATATCATTGAAAGCTTTTTATTTACCTAATATTAGAATCATGTACGTAGAGATCATTAACAAAATTTAGTCATGTTTATATGAGTCCAACATTTGAAATGTTTATTAGAAAATAAACATTTCTAGAAAATATTGAAAAGCTTATTGTTTAATTGAAAGAATAACTATTACAAAGTTAATTTATTCTCAACTTACATTAGTACATTGCAAAAGTTTTTCAGCTGCAACCATTTGAACATTCATGTTTCGCGCTTGAGATTTACCACGTGTTTTAATCAAACGTTGAAGTACTTTTGTTGAACTTATTTTTAAATAAACTGTAATTGGTGCAAGAGATGTTTTAGATAATTGACTTGGATGATTAATTGTATCACAGTCCAGTACGACGAGTTGTTGTGTACGAGCTAAATCAAATATGCGTTCGATTTCCTGTTGAACCTCTTTAATCAAGAAGAAAATAAATAACAATAACAACGACAACAGAACACATACAGAAACAAATTATATGAAATACAAGTAACCGTCAAACAAACTACTGTAATTTCGCAATGTTACATTATAAAAGAAGCTATTTAGAAACTAGATAAAATACTGCATTATCTAAAGGCAGGTAAAAATTATAGTTTGATGGAATATATACTGGAGCTGATAGAACATTTAGTATCTTCAGTATTCATTGGGAAGAATTTTCATTCATAGCAATGTTGAACAAAATCTATTGAAAAGGAGAAATTTTCAAACTTTCATTTTGAAACTATATAACTAGTTGCAGAGACTTGAGACTGACATCATAAGATCATACTTGATAGGCGATCTTCAAGGCTATACATGATAGTTCTACTTATAACCCTCAGTCCCTACGAAAAATATTATCTGCAGTAAATCCTAACAGCTCTCTCAGTGCTTATTCATTTCGTCTTATTTCTCAAATGTCAATGATTATGGATAGAAAATGTTCCGACGGATCAAATCTGATTCGCTACTGATTATGTTTCATAAGTTGGCCAGTCAAATTGCGTTTCAGCTCCTTAGTTAATAAAAGGAATTCAATTTTAACTCATCAACGTTAGTTTATGTGGAAAATACATCTAAGTAGTTACATACCCACTGAAGCTACTTGAATATGATAGGCTATATCTGTACAGAACAAATATACGGCTGTGTGACAGGTGGATAACAACTAGGCTGAACAATCTGAAATTATTTGACCTTTAGATAAAATAGCATTTCATTTTACTCAGCATAATTAGTTATATTGCTAATGTACATAGTGTTTTCTTCGGTTCTAAATTTATGTCATGTAAGCACATGTTATTGTGAAATGAAGAATAAAACAATCGATCTCTTAGAATTGGTCAAAAGCTTGCTCCTCAGTATTGATTATAATATAGCAATAAATATTTTCTATTCCTACACAAAGCTATAGGACTAGATATCATGAAGTACTTCATTGTTTAAACAAAACCATATTTACCTAATATTTTGGCTGTTACTATTTATTAGCAAAAAGTTTAAGTATATTTACAAACTTGTTTATTCTACATGAAAGCTTCCGGTAAATTTATTTGTACTGGTTGTTTGAATCTTCCCACTGGTGTGTAGGAAGCCAATCGATCGATCCTTTTTTGATATATATGTATACTGTGTGGATTGCCTAGATATCTACATTAATTCATTATCATTAAAGGCAAAGATGGATGACAGCCAACAGTAGAATTCAGGATGCACCTTTCGTCCTATTTGGGATTCGTTGGTTGGATGTACCTCCATCACTGCGGGACTCAAACCCAGTACCTTTCGAGTCCCAGAGTAGACATGAACTCTGGGATGCGCTGCTAGCCACGATTCATCTCCTTATAAATTGCATAAAATAATCCAACATCAGATTTTAGCTAACATGATAGAAAAAATTATGTTTGGAAAGTTTTCGTCAGCATAAAAGTTAAATTGACTACCTAATGAAATAATAGTATGACCAAAATTCCTGATAATTTAATATTTACCTAAAGATTGATTTCTTGTAGAAGATTTATCCATAATAGCTCTTCTAGTAGGGTTATTAAGTAGGGATCGTTTAGCAAGTGATATGTCAGCCGTCACTCTAGTTATGATAATCCTGAAATAAAAAAAGAATAAAGTTAAGCGAAAAATGAATTATTTACAGTGTGTATACTAGGAGAAGAAAACACCATCAGAATAATCATTAATTAGTTGAGTAAATTTTGTAAAAAGATTAGTCCACTTTAAACACTACTATTAAGGATTTAAGTTAACTGAAAAACCAATAAAACCTATGAATACTTGATAGATATTTAATCTTAGTTTCGAACACCTCAGTAACATGTATCAATGAACTTATACGAAATCGAATCTATGTGATCCAGGTCACAATACGACCACAGTAATTAAAAGGTGCTGAGTCGGAATCCAAATGGCCGACATTTTCTAACTTCAGTCAACTTGTGGTAAGGATTGATCGTTATTAAATATTAATGGTAACTAACTAATTCCCGTTTATTATCACTGACAAAATAAGTGGGGGATTTTTACTAAGACTGAATAAAGCTTATTTCGATACTAGTCAACTGATCTCATTATAAAATTGTATTCGATGATTATCGCATCATTCTACAAAAAGGTTAAAATCAAAACACTTGTTTTAGTGAATATCATCTTCAGCATTTAGTACGACAGTGCTCATGGAAAAGCTTAAAATACTTATGGTTCTATCCTATCTTACATTTGCTGTACATATCAGCAATAATGTCTTAACTAGGTTAATATAGATGTTCAATAGTCATTAGTTTACTGGCTGATTAGAAGCTGAATCAATTCAAAAATGAAAATGTTCCAGCTAAAATTAAACTAAAACCCCTTAATTATTTAAATTAAGTTGAAACAATTAGGGAGGAAGAATGTATTTGTAAAAGCTCAGTGAATGGCAATCTGTTCCAAGCATTTTCAAGAAAATATAATCAAAGTTATCGAATAAAAACAGGTACATGGTTCTTCAGTTAACTGTATGCTAAATAGGTCATCCAATCACGTTAACAATGTTTAAAGCAGGTCTTTGCTTTAGTGTGTTTGAGACATGTGGTGTGAAACGAAAAGTGTGTTAGGATAACGGATTATGTGTTCGTTGAAACAACTTATTGATATTATACACCGCACCTTTAAAGGGAATATATGTAGTGTCGATTAATTTACGATTTTCGTTGTTAAAAAACACTCAGTAAATTTAGAAGTTAGAAGAATTTAGACCTGCAACGAATTGACTTTTCTATAAAGTTTTATAAAAATGACAAGTAAGCTTTTCATGAAGTATGCATACCGAAATTAAGGAAGACCAACTATGCAATTTCGTCTCTTTTTACCCTAATGTTCGATATAAATGAACTTGTTTCATATTATTTCACTTTAACTCATATAAGTTAGTAGACTTTAATAAATTGAGAGTCATTCAAACAAGAATAACTAAAGGTATTGTAGAACTAAAACACTAAAAAATTCAAATAGTCAGTATTTACACGTCACATTTCAATCTACTGACGATAAAATAGCTATGTTTCATACGATATACTGTTTTCATGTTACTAAGTATTACTGTTTACAAACAGTCCCACAAAAAAATTACTCACGGGCATATATATATTATATACATATTTTGTAAAAAAAACAAGGCCTTACCTTCCTTCAAAACGCCGTTTTAAAAAGTCAAACAAGGCTTTCTGCATCATGTCAGTTACTTCATAACCTTTTAAAGAAGGACCAATTAGAACTACTGGACGCATAGATGGTACAACGTCGTAAGGAGGTAAATTATCACTCTGTAATATTTAAAAAATATATATAATTGATCAATTCAAAGAAAAGAATTATGAATGAAGGAAATATTATTCATTGAATGTCAGTAAACGGGAGCTTAACTTTTGATTAAATAAAAATAACTGATTATGAGTTACTGTCAGTGGCTCAACTAAGGTTTCTATTACTACAGTACTTCATAAAACTGTATTCACAGAAAATAAACATAATTACGAAAACTAATTTCTATGGAATAGTTATGACGTAGCTAACAGCAGAATATAAGATTCTCGTCTCGTCCTACTTGGAACTTGCCAGCTGGAGATGCTTTTATTGGTATTACCACTGGGATTTAAACCTAATATCTTTCGCCTCAGACACTCAACACGTTACCAAGTGAGTCAGTGAACTCATATAGACATCAGCATGTGAAACGGGTATGAATTTTATTATAATTTGTAATAATTTGAAATATCCCGTTTTTGATATACTATACTGAATTCAGATACACAAAAACTACTATTTGAAAACACACTTCATGATAGAAAGTGGCTTGATTTTTTTACCGATACGTTTGTCCATGTAAGCTACCATGCACATTAATTCCTAAGCGGTAATAGCTTTACAGTGAAACTTTTGACTGATGGTGAGTCTAGAAGCGTAGTAAACTTAATAGTACGGATATACATCAAATAGGTAGAAGGAGGTATTTCGATTGTAAAAAGACCTTCAATATCCAGAGAAAATCTCATTTAAACGGTTGTTAGTTTACAAACCGTTGAAATCGATTTTAAATACATCACATTCTTTAACAATACATCTAACCTATCAATTTATTAATAAAATAAGAGTTTTTGAATGAAAAACTACTCAACAGTTCTTTGTGTTATTGAGTCTTAATAGATCAAAAAACATTTAAAGAAAATTATTAAAAAAATCGTTTGATTATAGAGTGTCTTGCTAGTTGCTTACATTAGTTTATAGGCATTTCCCTTAGTATTGTAACAGTAATGGTTACACAACCATGAAAACTCATTTACTTGAAATTTTTTCTACCAATGTCACTTTAAAAAAGATCTATATTTTACGGATAGAACTATTTTAATCACGAAAGCTAACAATAGCAACACAACAGTAATCATGAATAAAAAGCATTGATACTGAAGCTTTTGAACATCATTCCGCAGGACCATATTAAAAGATTGATTCAAAAAGTTTACAAACGGTTAAAAATAAAGTCAAATCAGAGACAAGTCAACTTTTGAGAGAACTAAAACCAGTCATTGGAGTCTCTTCATGGTTTACTTTTAAATCCCAAATCATGCACCACTTAGCGTTTTTATGGTTTACCTAAAATTCATAAACCAGACATCCCACTAAGCCCGCTAGTAGACTTTACAAACACGCCAACATATGTATTATTTAAATATCTGAACAGCATACTAAGTCCACTTTAACATGACTAAGATAATATGACTAAAGTCTCCAATAACTTTAAATCAAACATATCGGGATTAATTATCGAAAAGAATAAAATCATGGTAAGTTATGTAGCTGTATCGTCATGTAACAGTATTACTATTGATAGATCCTTAAATTTTATTAGTGGTTTACTGGAGAATGACAATACTTCATGTCAGATGTCCCTTATGCACCAGCTTGATCATAAAACCCCTAAAACTGTGCTGCAATTCAACCTTATTTACTTTTAATGGGACATTATACAAGCAAACAAAGGAAGTAGCAGTGGGATCCCCAGTGTCCCTGATTGTAGCTAACCTGTTTATGTCACGTACAGAATCAAATATTTTGCCAATTTGGACCAGAAATGTAGATGATACTTTTGTTGTCATAAAAACGACTCACCAATGATCTTTTTTCTGAACTGATCAATACACTCTTATCTCAAGTCAAATTTATAAATCAGATTGGAAATGAACATGGTGAGCTGCTATTTTTAGATTGCTTAGTTAAAAGAAATGTAAGTGGATTTCTAAATCTAACCATCTACCGAAAACCAACGCACTTAAATAGTTATATCGACTTCAATTCAACATATTCATTGAGTGCAAAAATCTCTTTGACACTAAATATCTTTGGAATAACAAACGAGATTATTACATCTGATGAGGTTAAATAAAAAATCAAAAGCATATACATAACATCTCACAATTTAATAATTTTCCTATGAAGATTATCAAGAGTCCAATAAAAGTAGACGTTTTACTGCTAAATAATAATTCGAATGAAATACCATGGATTGGTACTGTAGTTTAACCATGCCGCCATGGCACAACAGAACTCCAGTGTCTCAAAACAACACACAATTAAAGTATATTACAAAACAACGAATACCCTTTGAAATGCTTTAGTTTGCGTAAAGGAAAAACGCCCCTTTATGTCAACACAGAATTGTGTCTACAAATTATTATGTGTCGATTGCGATGCCTTATAACATGTAGGGTCATTTCGTGAAATCTTGACTTGAGCCAACGAACATCTTAGGTACACAAAAAAACCGGCTTATAATCCCAGAGAAAGACACCAAATTAAATCAGCAACAACAGTTCATGCGATTTACAACGACCATCAAATCGATACTAAAAACATCAAAATAATACAAAAAGGCTATTCCGAGTACAAAGAAAGTCAAGTAGCTGAAGCTTTTAATAAATTGCTTAATCCTACTACCCTTAATAAAAAAGACCTCACTATCCATCCGACTTCGACCACCTATTTGAGTTACCATATCTGATACAGAAATGTATTTTGATAACACATGATTTTAAGGACAGAATAATCAATTTATTTCCCGTCTCTTAAAATATTAATAAATAAGCTAATTAGTAAACATTGTTCAATGTAGAAAGTTGTTTTACTGAAGGAAGTTAAATTGTAAATAACTTTAAAAATATAAGAAAATTTACATATTTCGCATTTATATTTATGTACACCTAGATTTATATTGAAATGATTATATTGTTGTTCGCTTTTATGACCAGTAATATCTGTTATATTCGCATGAGAAGTAATGTTGATATATCATATGAAGTCTATCAGTGTTTTGATTGCTTCGTCTTATATACAAAAAAATAACTTAAGACGTTCTGTAATCCTAGAGAGAAAGAAATAGTTATTGTTTATATCCATTCTTGTAACCTAAATTACAGAGGAAATTTCAATAGATAACCACTGAAAATTATAGAACGATAAACATTTGTTTCATTCTATACTTTGAATTTATCACCGATCTAACCAGATCTACTAATAAGTTAACAATTGCTTGGTTTATGTTAAGCTTTATTTAAATATCAAAATTGTAATCTACATATTATCAGTTTGAAGTATCTGTTGAACAGTTTGTGATATAGTATCTAGACCTAGTGTTACAATAAAAAAGATAACCTGAAGACTTTGAATAATTCAAATATTCAGTTTATCAAACTGTATCTAGATAGAACATTTGCTAAATGCTGGAAATGTGAAGAAAAATACAATAAGAATGTATATTAAACAACATCAACGTATTTCAATTATATTTGTAAAATATGAATGACAATCTAAATGCATTTATCCTAGATACCTTTATTTCTCATCCGTACTTTCAATCGGACACCAAGAGTGCCTTCAAGACTGAATATTTTGTAATTTTAGTTTATAAAATAATATAAATGGCTATTAAATGCAATTTACACACAAAAAGTACTTTTGTTTAGTTCGTGAGTCTTTTTTCCAGTACTCTCTTATATTCGGTTTAAGGTCACACTGTCTCTGTAAAACATATAAATATAAACCATCTAACAAACAGAAAGTTGACGGGACATGATAGGAGCCAACAATATGATAGTCAAAGCGCAATTATCTCAACTTGAACATATAGTAAGTACCCTATAGTTTATGGACAAGCTGTATAAAAACTTTCAGCGAAATTAAGACAAAACTTTATGATATATCGATAAATAAACAATTTCAGAGGGAATAAATCCATTGGTCACAGATGTTAGCAGAAACAAAGACTGGGGAAGTTGGGAATTATGAGTTTATCCCTTTTTTAAATCCAAATAACAAATAATTTCAAACAATTAGTTGAAGATGTTAGGATAACACAAAATGTCAAAAGCTAAGTAACACAGTCAAGTATTACATATGTACTATCATCATAAGAAAATTAATAAGAGTTAAGAAATAAATAGTCTCATTCTACTCACTTTCTTAAAAAATGGCTTACGACCCGCTCTTGCACTGACGGAAGCTTTACCTGATGGTGTTTCTCGTCTGGGATTACTGTCTTCATCATAACTTCTGTTAATGGTGTCAGCACCATCAGCTATAGTTGAAAGCCACAAGTCGTGCGATGATTATTATAATCAAAGAAAATTTTTAACAACTGTAAAATATGCGTATACCTTAAAAATATACTCTAATCATGATACTGATCACAGTTATCAAGAAAAAGTAATTTTATCATAGCTTCATTATAAAATAAATATTTATAGATTATTGTAAAAAAGGTGTGTATTACCCTAGACCAAACAGGAAGCATAAATAATTCATCTATACGATAACTCATAAACATGATATGTGACCTACTACCTCATTTTCTTAAGACAATGAGCTTCAACATTAGAGATAATTCCTGAAGTAGAATCTCGTTTTCAAATTAAGAAATAAAACTAAAACAATGAAGTGATACGCATGTTCATTTTCAGGGAAATGACGGAAAGTAATAGACAGTAGATCACCCCCAAGTAAAATCTAAAAATTTCTTGATTTTAATTCTAAGTTGAGCGATGAATAAGTGAGAACATTTTGGAATCTGTCAGCTTATCAGAATTTGGTGTGATTATCGAACAAAGCAATATTCTTTGGTGTTGTTTTACTTGTATCTTCCCAAAGTTATATTCTCCCATATAAAAACGGATGACCAGCAAACAATAATTATTTTAGGATGCCTTTCATTAATTTCCAATTTTTTTATTGATACTCACTTAATTACTCCTGACTCGCTCGTGGAGGGACATAAGCCACCCACCAGCATTCTCCATCCAACTCTGTCCTACGCAATCCTTTCCGGTTCTTTCCAGATGCTATTCATTCTTCTAATGTCTGCTTACAATTCCCAACGCAATATGTTCCTAGGCCTTCCTCTTTTCCATTCACCTTCAGTAATACAAGTTACTGCTTGTCTCATGATGCAGTTTGATGATTTGCATAATGTATATCCTATCCACCTCCAACATCTTTTTCTAACTCACTCCCCAGCTAGAACCTGGTTTATTCTCTGCCACAGTGGGTGTTGCTGATAGTATCCAGTGAACAGACATTGAGTATCTTGTGCAGACAATTGTTTATAAACACTTGTACAATTTTGATGATAATTGTAGTAGTTCTGAGCGTTCCAGCTCCGTACAATAGAACTAACTGTCTCGACGTTCATACCGAAAATTCTCACTTTGATGTTGGCTTGCATTTAGTTGTTTTGAGTTCCATATGTTCTTAAACTTCAGAAATACTGTTCTTGCTTCGACAATCCTTGCCTTTACGTGTGTATCAGATCCTCCTTGTTCATCGATGATTTTGTCCATCTACGTGAAATATTCCATCTGTTCTGGAGTTCCTCCATCAAGTGCGATTGGGTTGGTTGGTGTTCTCCCTGTTGTATTTGAGGATGTTGCTTCTTCCCTTGTGTATGTTGAGGCCTGCTGATGCAGAGGCTGCCGCTACACTAGTTTCCCTCATCTACACTTGTTGGTGTTTATGAGATAGAAGGGCTTGATCATGTGTGAAGCCCAAATCGTCTAGTTGCATGGAAACTGTCCATTGTATTCTGCGCTTCCCTTGAGATGTAGAGGTCTTTTAATTCTAGTCAACCGGCAAATGAAAGAGAACGGGCGAGAGGTACCAGCCTTGTCTGACTCCGGTTCTCACATGGAATACGTCTGTCAGCTGTCCTCAATGCAACACTTTGCAGTGTCGCATGAATTCCGTATGATGTTGACGATGTCCCAAGTACTCCGTAGTGTCAAAGAAGGTTCCATAAAGTTCTTCTATTCACGGTGTCAAACGCCTTCATAATCAAGGAATTTGATGTATAGTGACAAAGTCCACTCAACTGATTGTTCAACGATGATCCGTAGTGTCACGATTCAGTCTATGCACGACCGATCTTTACGGAATACGACAGGTTCATCTCAAAACTGCGCGTCCACTGAATCCTTCATCCGGTTCGGCAACACTGCTGAAAACGTTTTCTGGTACTGATAGTAGTGTGATTTTTCTGAAGTTCTCACACCTGCTCAAACATTCTTTCTTTGGTAACCTGATGAGGCATCTTTCTTTCCAATATATCGGCACCTGTTCTTCCTTCTAAATCTTCCTCATTAGAACGTGGGATATGTTTGCAGTTACGTCTGTGTCTGACTTCAGCGCTTCAGCTGGCATGTCGTGTGGTTCAACTGCCGCTTTCCCACTCTTCATTTGTCTGATGACCATCCTGATTTCTTCGATCGTTGGCAGAGTGACAGCTATGGGAAGGTTTGTATGTATTGCTTCGATGCCGGTGGATTCAATGGAGCTGATCCACTTAAAGTGTTCCATCTACCAGTTCTTCTGCTCTTGAATCTCAGTGATCGTCTTGTCTTCTTTGTCCTTGACTGGTCTTTCTGGTTTGCTATATTTCCCTGCTAGTTTCCTCGTTGTGTCATATAGTTGTCTGATATTTCCTTATGTTGCAGCTTTCTCCGCTGTCGTTGATAGGTCTTCCACATACTTGTGCTTGTTAGCTCAAATGCTCCTCTTCACTCACTTATTTACTTCAGTGTATTCGGTGTGTACTTTGACTATCTCTGTTCTTGTTCGGTTGTTCTTAATTTCTGTTTTCTTGTTCTTCGTTCGTTGAATTTTGCCAAGGTTTTCGATCAAGATCTATTCTTTATAATGACGCTTCTTACTTTCCAGCAACTACTGACATGCTGAGGTCAGTGTTGTTTTGATCCCTTTCCAGTTGTCCTCCATATTAGTTCCTTCTTCTTCCAAAAGACCTTGTAAGACTTGGAACCTGTTGTTGAGAACTCTCTTGAATTTTTTCAGTTTGTCAGTATGTCGAAGGAAGGCTGTATTGAACCTTTATAATGCTGTTTCTCCAGTTGTCCAGTGCTTCTTGATTGATAGCCTAGCCAATAAAACCAACATTTTACAGTTATTTTCCCTACAGATATCTGAGGAAAAAAACCCTCTGACGTCGTTTCGTTATACAATTACTGAAATTTGATAAACGCATACGAATAATAAGCGGGTGTATATTTGTAGTTATTGATTTCCTTTCCAAAGGGAAGTCTAGAAAACCTAACAACTACTACGTGTTTAGATCAATAGGATTAATAAAACCTTTATATATTTGTGGTTGTTTCCAGGATATTAAACTATAGCGTAAGATCAAAGTAGACAAATTGCATACATGTTATATATGAGAGGTCAGATAGTTATCTATGCTGCTCCTGAAGAATATAAGGGCAGGACACTAATGAGTAGTTCATCTGACCTACATTTCTTCTTCCTTTTTTTAATTTTCAGTCACTGGTTAAGTTAATTTTAGCGCTGCTATAAAGTGTGATAAACTGATATTATGCATATTTGTGCCTCGTTCTTTATTGTTTACAACCGATGAACTAATATAATTTCCTATATGCTTTTGCCTAAGACAAATATTCAAGACAAATTTATGGACGAAACAAATATGAGTACTCTACTTACAAAGAATGAGACAAAATGTGACTATAACGATTAAACATCTCAGTGGTTTATATTTATTAATTCTAAATCAAAATATTTTAGACATAATGTTACAGAGATTTACAACAAATGAGATGAAGTACTTTTCTGTGAATAGAAAGAATTTAAACCTTTTAATTAGAGGTCCATATTGAGAAGGAATTTCGGTAACTAAAGGCAGACTCAAAATACAATTAAAAACTTAAATTGTTATAACATGATCTCCACTGGAAAAAATAATGGATGATTTTACATAGATATAGTTCGAAATAAAAGCAAACCCAAAATACCTGGTGGTGTTGATGGCCTTGAATTTCCAGTTCGTGAATTATCAAAATTACCTGTGGAACTTTTGCTAAAAAGAAAAATTTAGAACAAGCACATACACAATACAGTCACAGATAAAATCGAGTTAAACAGCGAAGTCAAATAACGGACTGATCTTAACTAGATCACCATCGAAAACAGGAGGTACCAGAAAGTTGTGTTCTCCTGATGTGGGACTAGTCAGAAATGTATATCCACGACCCCGCCACCAGGAATCGAAATCGAGATCTTTGATTTTGCGAGTGAGCGCCTAACTATTCATATTCATATGTAGACACAAACATGATACACATGGTGTTCGTTATATTAAACTGATGAAAAATATGGTTAATATACTTACCTCATACCTCTAGCACCGAAATTTTGCATAGCCTCCAATTTCGCTGGTGACGGAATAAAGCCAACATCACAACCTTCTTTCACTAACCGACCAATCCACCATTCATTATTAAATTTTTCTTTAATATGCAGAAAATCTTTAACCTAAAGGCATATAGATGAATAACCTTTCAGAATAAAGTCGACCTAAACCTGTTTTAAATAGTCAGGAAACAACTAGGATTAATGAGTGATTTACTATGCTAGGACTAATACTAAGGATTAGGATGGTCAATGATTTCTGATTATCAAGTAAAATATGGGATTTAGGATGTGATGCTTTAAAACATCTTAACCTATTTAAGCAGCAGTAGATTGCTAGGACAGTGACTTAGTTTTTAGAATTAGAATGTGGAGTTCAGTATTTAGTGCTAAAGTAAAGAATTCGGAAATACAGGGTTACAGATAGAACTAACGATGTCGTTTAAGATTTGAATTACGTTTTGCGCTCAGTCTGTGTACAGTGCTACGCATAATCCCACTTTAGCTCCCAAATCCTAAGATTTACATGGTAATCCCAAACTAAACCCCTAATTTTAATTGTTATGTTCAATTTCTAAAGTCTGTATCTTAAACTTTAAACTTTAATCCTATCTGCTGCTATGCACCATGGCCTTGAAGCGATTTGCACGTTCACCATAGCCTCGGTGGTACAGTTCGGCTTTACTATTTTCAGTGAATTAAGTTTTATAGTAGTATTTCTAAAATATCGAAAACGATACAATTAAACACGTGTATCAACAAATATTTTTGAAAAAAAATCCTCTAAATACAATCCACAAATTTTAGACATCATTTTCAAATGACAGATTACACGTCGTTGGCTTTTTGAACGTTATTAATTTTTAATTGATGCTCGTATAAAATGGTTCACATTCAATTAATAAATGAAGTACAACTTTCTAATCAATTTCAAGTGAGATGTTTTGACATCATCGATCAATTACAGTTCAAAAACCATTGGAATTGGAAGTATCAACTGCAACAAAAAGCGGCTTAAAACCCCGTAATGTAAAGGCTAGTGTGTTTATCATGAAAATAGAGAATCATGTGTTTAATCTTTAGAAAGGTTACTACTGAACACTCTCGTTTAATCCAGATACAAAATTATATATTTGTCTTGTAAGTTGACTTTCATTTATTAGTTCACCGATATTAATTAGTAGAGACGACAATTAGATTACTTTCATTTACACTTTTTCTTTTTCCTGCTATTACTTCCATCACCATTATTATTATTATTCCTATTATTAGTCCTAACACGATTACTTCATGAAGGAAAAATTGCATCGGTTGTTTCTTTGCAGATGTAATAAATTGTAATGTTTGAACAGTGCTTTTAAGGACCAGATTTTATCAAATTTCCCCACCTAAGTTTTATAAATTATTCATAGTCTATTGAGTATATTTCGCTCAAACTAGACAAAAAGATCTAAACGACTTCAGTTTTCATCTTAGCTATTTGTAATTTAATGCGAATCCTCACACTGGAACATAACCATATGATAGGTTTTAAATATTCTTAAAATGAGTTAAAAGATGATCAGTAAGTGTAAATTTCGAGCATTTTAGAACCTAGGCAATTGGGAAAAAGTTTTGAAAAATACGCAGATTCACTGCCAAGAAAGCAGTGAGACAATCATATTCTATCAGTAAAGTTCTTCCTCTTAATTGCGTATACTTATTTCGTTATACATTCGAATAATTTTGATGTGGTTTATAACAAGAACAGATACACCAGATAACTTCTGAAAAAATTGCTTTGGAGATTTCCACCAGTTTTTCCCTACACAGATAAGGTTTCACAAAAAACATGATAATATCTAACCCCTCAAACAGTATCAAATCCCCATAGGTGATTATATTTGAGGTTGGTCTCTAGAAATTAAAATGGGAAACCGTAACATGTGGCACAATACTAAGGTACTGAAGATTTGTACATCACTCGCTATTCAATTAACAAATATAACGAAAACAATTCATAACGCAAAATGTATACCCTGAAGAATAAACTCGATTAAGACAAAATTGCAGTTAGATAAGTTGAATCTAATTCTTTAAATAATTTACCATATTCATCGATAATTCCCCATCATAATACAATGTCGTATACATATCAAAAGAAAATCTTAAGAACCTTTATTTTAGAATTTACCGTGCCTTAACTTTGTACTGCAGTAATTCATAAAAGACAATCCAGACAATGCTAGCTTTAAAAGGTTTGCTTTTGTCCGTTGTTAATACTTTACACTGGATGTTGATCAGTCTCTTCTGTTGTATTTCGACTTTGAATAAATGTCACAAGTATTTACAGGTTTTATCATATTTTCGGATAGCGGCTACCAATGGTGTCCAGGATATGCGTTTCGTCATACTTAGAACCTATCATATTAGCTAGTTTGGAGATCATTTTAACGTTCATAATAATAAAAAACATCTAACAAACATTGTCTATTTCCATGTATTATTTTTAATAAACAAACTTACTTGGAAGCTTACAGCCATTCCAGGAACAGGGCAATCATCGACCACCGACCCATGAAACGCAACATTCGTTCGCACGACAAAAACAACCTTGGATGTCTAGTTTGTGGAAAACAATCAGTAAAATTTTCAACGTATAAACGAGTCTGTGACCATTATAAATAATCAAACTATGCAGGTATCCTCTAACACCAAAACAAACTATTAAAAACTACTGATAGAAGTCTATGTTGGACATGGGAGTTCTTTCGTAAAAACAGCCAGAAAAGTCAACGCTATATTCCAATCTACAGAAGTAAGTAGCCATCGGTAAATGGAAAGTACTTCTAAATTGTCATCAAAAGCGACTCCACTAACTTATCGACCACAAACTATGCATAAACACTACTGTTGCTTTTCCTAAGTTGATGGACAAACTATGCTTGAACAATAAGAACTAAAGTTAGTTTTGAACAACACTTCCCATATATTTATATATATACATATATATGGTAGGTCATAATCATAATGTAATCAGCTTATAACAATTTTCCTCCTGAGGAACACTTTCATGAAACAATGGTATATAATTTTGTCAAGTATTCATATTGTAAGGTGAAATGGTTTGCGTTTCTACAAGCAACTAAGAACTAAGACTTTTAATCAATTCTCAAGCAGTAAAATCAAGTTGATCACGAAAATGGTAAAAGTGTCAAACATTTGGCATTATAGTTAGACGGCAACAATTCATTCAACTTGGTATCAGAGATAAGAATTCATTTAAATACTCCATCGTGCTTTTAAATGTATGAAGTAATAAAGGTATATGTTAAGGAATAAAAAATACCTTGGCTTTTTCAAGTAGCATTCGTGCTTGTTCTTCTGTTTCCTGACGAGCATTTTCCTCTTTATAATCGTCTTCATCATCATCTTCCTCTTCATCGTCATCATCATCATCTGCTCTATCACAGTACTCCTCGTCGTCATACTCCTCGAAGTTGTTTCCGGCAAAATCGCCACCTGAATATCCTCGATCACCAGCCATTATAATCAAAAGTCTAAGCAACATAAAAATGTAATTTACGGACAAAAATTCCTAAGCACACGTTCTATCGAGATTATCAGATACTGAAACTACGATCATCAATCGTAGATTTTTAAAAACCATTTTTCAATTGTCTTACTAAACAAACACATTTTATTACATTTTTGGTTAATAGTATACTTTTAAAAGGCACATATTACCTCAAGGCGTAGTCTGCAAGATACAAATCTCGTAAAATGATGCCATAACTTGTCCTTTTTCTACTGTACATTATGTTTGATCAATATTAAAAAAGAAATATTTAGTGAGTAAATGATATATTCTTAAACTATCCTTAGATGGAGATCATTCAATACATCTGCAATATAGATAAACTAGTGTTTGTCTTTCTCTAGATAACCTAGAGTCATTAGCAGAGTTCACTTTATACCAACTGCCATTAGTGGCTATAACATTTGCCTTAACGATGGTCAAATCTATTTTACTAAACTAAATAAACACATATTAGCAGATGTTTTCCACTTCTAACACTCTAAACAGAAGAGAACGAATCACTTATACGGTATTATTTGGTCCTAAGAGCAGATAGTCACGCTTTCAGAATCCCGAACTCCATACTAAGAAACTTCAGAAAAATCTTCTTAATGAGTTTTCCCACTTTAAATATGAAGATTGCCACAGTTCTCTCTATGTATAGTAGATATTGTGTCATCGAAAGTTAAAACAAAATTTTAATAAAGATATTGTGCACGAAATTTAATACATTTGAAAATATCAAAACCGAAGTAAATAACGTGAAATCTGAACAAAATCACAACAGACAAAAACCTTATGTTTTACTTTTCTAACAATTATAAGACTAGATATGAGCACATTATGTTTCTAATACAATGACAAATTTGTCTACGCCAAATAACAAATCTTCGTTCCTTAGACTTACTAGATATTATTTACTTACAGTTACATATAAACAAAATTAAATGAAAGTTTTGCTACTTCGGCTGGTATAAAACGAGACAACTTATACAATAGAGTTACAGATTGACGGTCCTAAAACCTTACTTTCTAACTTATAACAAAATTGGACTACATTCATTTACATGAGTCATATTACGTCAATTTGAACAGATGTACTTATCTCTATAACCCCAAGATATCAAAAAATGAAATAAATAATGCCATAATGAGAAAGAAGACAAGTAGGCAAAAATGAAATACATGGTGCAGTAAAATGTTTACTGTGAGGAGAGTATGAAACGAATAAGTTAAACTGTGACCCATCTTAAATCTCATAACAAGGCATTTATTGATTGATTTCTGAGATCTTGATATTGTAACTCATTAGTAAATAATAAAACTACCTGTGAAAGATATCGTATGTGTTAGGTAATCAGAAAAATAGACCAATAATTATGATGTTAAGTCCAATGGTGTCCTTGGACCTTAAATGTACATTTTCCATTGGTCGATATTTATTTAACGTGTTATTTTCCTGTTGGCCAATATTGTACAATGTTATTTTCTACTTTGTGGTACGATGTGGTTTGTTTGCTTGGTATATAAATAGTGTATGTTTGAAATATAATGATTCATAACTCCGAGGCTGTGACTTTTGTTCTTGACTCAACTGGCTGGGGACAGACAGCGAGGCAGGGCCAATCAGGGCACTAGGTCATCCTTACAAGTTTACGTGTCACGGGTCACTGTCACGGAAGCGATCGATATAACGCTGCGTATCTAAACCTGCAGTCACACACACGTTACAACAGTATGGCGTTTACATAATCATAATAATAATGTAAGGACGATAAAATTATTCATTTAACTGAGCACATAAACATTGGTACAAGGGTGCGCCAAATACATATACGCCACAAAATAACAATGAGGCCAGTAGCAGTTATCATTGGTTTGTATGAGTTACGATACTGCTCGGGTGCCCAGACTGAGGCAGGTGGTTTTCTTAGGAGACCACACCCGGAGCTTTTGACCTGAAGATTTAACCCACAAGACAGTAGAGCAACATAAGGAGATGCAGTCCCATAGTAGTCGGTGACCAACAATTGGTTCATACGCCATTTGTTCCTTCAGGATCCTGGATCCTACTTGCACCATTAGTTTGGAATCGGGGTTCTCCAGCTCCCCTAGGTGGATCCTCCATATCCACTAACCCGGTTGAAGAGCCGGACATTTGCCTTTCGTCTTCTCGATTTCGTAAACAACACTCACGCCACGAGAAGGCAGTGAGTAGGACTTCCGTGGGAATGGCTATACATGTATGGCCATGTGAGAGCATTCGGAGGGGGAGAACGGACTCTCTTCACCCTTGACAGTACCAGGGCATTTAGGGGCGGTATCTGTGATTTACTGACCACTAAAATCGCTTTTTTGAGTATTGGAAGCTGTTTAGTACTTAGCTGAAAGAATAGAGGAGTGTCTCGGCAATCTACTTAACATTTTAATCTTTTGATTAAATCATTTGTATCCCGTATTTTTTCTTCACTTAACTGATTTGCTCCATAACGTTTGAACAATTTGTTACTAGAGCTGCTTGGCCGTTGCGCCACATCTTAGGTCAAACTATTTATTTTAGAATTAGTAAATGATAAATGTAGAGTATGTGATTAATAGCAATCTAACTTCACTTTAATATACTCTACAAAACTTTCGGAAATTAAGGGACGAAAATAGTCTTTATTTTTCAATATATTCAACTAGGATCTGATAGAGAATGCGAAAAATGTCCGCACCAAAACTGTAGAAGGTTATATAAAATAGCCATCAAGTGCAGAAATATATAATGACTGCTGTTCATAAACTGAATATGATCTCAGTGTCAACTTTACAATGAATTCACTTAGGTTGATTTTAAAGACAGGTCTTGATTCTTGCCTTAACGTAGTTCATTAGATTCCATAAGAAAAGTGTACTACCACTCCTCACTTTGTATCTTTAAGTATTATGAGACTATTCAGATTTATGTTTAAATCATCGTTGATTTCACAACTTATCAACTACGTAATACATTGCTGAGGCGAAACTAACAATCGCACAATAAATATCATCAAATGCCAATTCGACAGTTTTATTTATATTCCAACTGCAGCACAGCTGCAAAATCAGAGGAACTTGGCGCATAGCCCTTACTTTCAAATGACGTAAAATAGCAGAACTTTGAACGTAAAACTCAGCGTCAACCAAACGATACCTACTCACCAGATATTTATGTATAAATTTAAAAACTGGTCTGATGGAGACAAGTTTTCAGTATCAATAAGGTTCTAAAACGAAATAAAACTACTAGAAATAAGATTATTGATTTCGTAGATCGGTTATCACAAAAAGTTTACTTATTCGGATAATTACACTCGTCGACCGTGTGAATTAAAGACAATTATGAAACACATTTATGGAATGAGAGTTAGTTTCCCCATTAAAACGTTATCTTCTAAAAAATTAATTATGTTGCCATAAAAGCTACAGAAAAGGTCTGACCAATGTAACACTTCGAACTCAAAAGCTTTTTTCTCCTTTTATTATGTTTTATGGTCTAAATTATGTACTGCCATTTACCTCTCCTAGTCATTTTATTATGAGGAGACAGTTTCGTAGAAAGAAAATGCCTGCCGTATGCAAGCTTAACTGTTTCCCGAAATCAAAGCCCTTTAAAGAACCAACTCTCTGGCTTGCAAGTGCTAGGATGATGCTAAAAATTACTTTACAACATACTACAAACCCTCAATCAATATGATAGCACCGATAGATGATGAGATATATCATTTATAAGGTCTTTGTAATTAGTAAAAAAACTACCGTCTGAAGTCACAAACAGCATACGACTATGTTGGACACCCAACCTCCCAGGTCTGAGGAAATTTTGGTGTTTTGGTGCCAATTTCCACGAATTTCCCCAAAGTTTAATATAGGAACTTCCCCGACTGGAGAGCTCAGGTAATTAATTACTAATGAACTGAGTAGGAAAGAATTCAAGCTCGCTGCCAGCAACAACATATAAAAAATACGAACTGAATACAAGAGTAAAGACCCAAAAAGCACAGAACTGTAGTACTAGTAAGTATGAATTCAAACTATCTGATTAGTCAATTTAAAGGTACTTTCATCCATATATCAGAATGTTGGTGTATTATCGAGATTTGAATACTTGTGATGAATAATCACACTGGTAGATCGAATAAAAATCATCAGATAAGGGATCAAAGGCCTATTGACTATGAATGACACATTTTAAGACTGACCTACTCTGTTAATTCAAAACATCTACGTACAGCAGTACATCTAAATATCTCGCTTTTGAAAGATTAAAACACATTCAGATCAGATCAGACCCAGATTTGTGTAGCAAGGACAGAAGGCCTACAGCCTATGTTATTCCTTTTCTAGTATGCTGCTGCGAGTGTACAGTCTTCTCTTGAAGGAGTCAATTGAAAGTGCGGACACCACTGCTTCGGACAGCAGGTTCCAAGTATTGATGACTCGGTGTGAAAGCGTGTATGCAACGGGTATTTTTTTAGTTCTTGGCTTTTCTACTGACCTGCTATGTCCTCTGAGTTGTCCCGATCTGCTGGTATGAAACAGAGAGAATATGATAGGTAGAAAATCATTTCTCAGTATTCTGTAAAGAACCTTGAGGTTGTAGTGACACACATTTATCACGAGAATACGACTGGTTTAATGAAAACAATCATTATCATAACCAACTATACCCGTGCTTGTTTTAACGTGCTTTTGTTTAACTGTGCTAATTACAGCCATTTCGTGCTTCCATTACCTTCCATCATTGTTCCGCGGTTTTTGGCTTTGTTCGCACTTACTCCATTCTCCTGCTTCCGCTTGTACCAGTTCTTGGCACGATCTTGGTATTCGATCGATACCACGAGATCGCCAACGAAATAAATCTGGTTGCGTTCAACCTACGCCTTCTGATTTCTTTGGCACGCGTTTCTTGGTAGCGGTGTTCATAGTCAATCGGGACTCGACGCCACGCTACAACTGGTGAGCCGAATTCTGGAACACGCTGCAACTTCTGGTCCAATCGCCCAAAGAAGTCGATTCGGTGAGTCTATTATTTATCTATCCACGTCTGTCGTATATTCTTATATTATTTTTTAATATATAATATACTAGACATGACGGATAACGATAAGAATAGTATTAATATAATAGACTCCCATGAACGTGTACCAAATCCTCGACACTTTTTACTCGCGTGACGATAAGTTCCACGCTTTATTCGAGAAATTCCCCGTACTCACTAAACCACTCGAGGAGATTCTATCGGTGACCAATCGTGTGGTACACCACATAGTCACCCGCGGACCGCCAGTCACGGCACGACCTCGCCGACTGGCACCGGACAAATTAGCTTTCGCTAAACGTGAGTTTAACAATTTATTAGCCACTGGTATTATTCGTCCTTCTCACAGTCCATGGGTCTCTCCTCTTCACGTGGTGAGCAAAAAAGATGGGGTGAGTTGGAGACCATGCGGCGACTACCGAGCTCTAAACGTAGTTACGCGCTTTGATAGCTACCCCATCCCCCACATACACGACATCACGGAATCGCTCAAGGGCGCGACTATCTTTTCTAAGATTGATCTGGTACGAGCATATCATCAGATCCTAGTCGCTCTTGAAGATATCGAGAAAACCTCTATCACGACTCCTTTCGGTCTGTCTGAGTTCCTACGAATGCCTTTTGGATTACGGAATGCTGCTCAAACTTTTCAAAGGTTTATCGATAGCATTGTACGAGACCAAGATTTTGTTCACGTCTATATTGATGACCTGCTAATAGCATCATCAAGCGTAGATTAACATTATAAACATCTTACGCTATTATTCCAACGCCTTTCAGATAATGGAATAGTAGTTAACCCGGACATGTGCGAGTTGGGTAAACAAGAAATAATATCTCTGGGTCACGTTATCAAGCAAGAGGGTATTCTACCTTGCGAGGACAAAGTGCAAGCAATAAACGAGTACAACGTGCCCTCCTCACTCAAGGAACTGAAGGCTTTTATCGGTTTGGTTAACTTCTACCGTCTTTTCACCCCATACCCCTTACTTTGCGGCAACCCACGCAAGTTAGAAATGAACGATACCGCACGTACTGAATTCACAGAGATCAAAACGGCTCTTGCGCAAGCCACTCTTCTCGCCCATCCCGATCCATCAGCCACGCTTAGTATAGCGGTTGATGCATCCGATGTTGCTACTGGAGCAGTCATGCAACGAAACATCTCCGGTAGTTGGCAACCTCTTGAATTTTTCTCATGACGCCTTACTCCCACGGAGACGAGATATAGCGCTTTTGGTCGCGAGCTGCTAGCAGCTTACTGTGCACTCAAACATTTCAGGCACGCAGTAGAAGGACGTCAAATCATCTTATTCGCCGACCACAAGCCCATAACCTATGCCCTGCATACCAAGTCTGACCGCTACTCACCACGAGCGTGCAGACATTTGGACTATATCTATCAGTCCATGACAGACCTTCGTCACATTAAAGGCGAGTCGAACTTGGTTGCCAATGCTCTGCCACGTATTCAAGTGAATGCAGTTACTTCACCGGTGCTCGATCTTCCGTATGTGGGTAAAGCAATGCTTACAATGTCGACGATCAAAAGTGCACAGGCACGTAGCTGCTCCCATCGGCACTTTCGCTACGCCTGATGCTCGCTTCGATCACGTTCATGTAGATATTGTGGGACCACTGCCACCATCGCATGGGTATGATCACATACTCACGTGCATCGACCGTTTTACAAGATGGCCCGAAGCCATTCCCATCACGTCTATTACGGCAGAGACAGTTGCTCACCGCTTCGTAGAACGATGGGTAGCGCTGTACTGTTGTTTCTCGACTGTCACGACTGACCGAGAACAACGATTCGAGTCCTCAGTATTCTCCTCGCTGACCCGGCTGCTTGGTACGGAACGTATACGCACTACTGCCTACCACCCAGCATCAAATGGTTTAGTTGAACGGTTTCACCGCCAACTTAAGAGTGCTCTTCGAGCACACGAAAAAGACAATTGGTACGAAACCTTAACGCTCGTCCTCCCAGGTATCAGAACGAGCTTGATGGCAGATATCCAATGTTCCGCCGGTGAACTGGTATACGGCACGACATTGCATCTGCCCGTGGAATTCTTCACACCACGGAGCAGACCTGATTTCGGTAAATCAGATTACCTCTAACGACTGCCTGCATTTATGCGAACACTGTCTCCGGTGTCAACTCGAATACAACATCGACAAATCGCTCTCCCTCGAGAGTTATCTACCTGTTCACATGTTTTCATACGAGTAGATTCGGTACGTAAACCTTTGCAATAACCCTAAGAAAGACCTTTTCACTTGATCGCTCGTCACGAAAAGACCTTCAAGGTTGATCGACATGGCCGCATCGAGGTGGTCAGCATTGATCGTCCCAAGCCAGCACACGCCAATGACAGTGCTCTGCCTGATAAATTGAGACCCAATCGTAGACCCATCAAACCCACTAGCGGGGTCCTTACGTCTACTGAAGATCCCACGCTAGATACACCTGAGACCTCATTCTCACGTCCCAGTCAACAGCATGCGTCATCTGCACCATCTACGGACGAGACGACAGTCTCACGTCCAGATCAGCAGACCACGCCGCCCTTGACTTCGGATGAGATTGCAGGCTCACGCGATACGAACGAGTTTACCATCTCACTTCACGGTCGCGGAGTACGGTTGCCCGTACGCTTCCGCGACTAGCCGCACATCCAACAGCCGATACGGTGTAGGACTATTCCTATACGACATGCATGCTACACTTTCCTTTTTTTAATTTTTTCTGTATCCTGAGTTCACGCCTCTGACCATCCCCCGTTTGGTACCGTCGACTTCAATCAACTTTGGCGAAAGCTGGCCTGATCACCCACGCTCTTGTCAACGCACTCAGTCGATATTTTCGTTTCGAATGTTTGGCATACGCTTGGTCTCGAACTTTGTCGTTATGGTCGCTTCTGATTCATCGGCTCAGCGTGGTTTCGTCCTACGTCTGCAGCGTTTCTGGTTCTCATCCCCTACAAACACAATCTTCAGATTCTGGATACAAACCACTCAGGTGTAGCACGCCAACTCAAGCAACAAGTACTGCACGCCGCCCCTGGTACCGTTCTCCGAAATAGAACCTCGTTGGCAACTCGACGATCAACAATCGCTTTCCTGTTCCGCCAATTCTTCCGTCATACAATCGTTCGTCAGCCGATCAGTCCCATGATTTAAACGGCTATTTATCGAAAGTGAAAACCCTTTCTAGCGGGGGCCTCCTGTAGTGACTCACTTTTATCACGAGAATACGACTGGTTTAATGAAAACAATCATTATCATAACCAACTATACCCGTGCTTGTTTTAACGTGCTTTTGTTTAACTGTGCTAATTACAGCCATTTCGTGCTTCCATTACCTTCCATCATTGTTCCGCGGTTTTTGGCTTTGTTCGCACTTACTCCATTCTCCTGCTTCCGCTTGTACCAGTTCTTGGCACGATCTTGGTATTCGATCGATACCACGAGATCGCCAACGAAATAAATCTGGTTGCGTTCAACCTACGCCTTCTGATTTCTTTGGCACGTGTTTCTTGGTAGCGGTGTTCATAGTCAATCGGGACCCGACGCCGCGCTCAAGGTACTCCATTAAGTACTGGTCTCCAGATGGAGCACTTGGAATTTACTCTTACTTCCTGTCTACGGCCTAGTAGTAAATCCTTAAGTCATTTTATTAGAGGTCCGGAAATATCAAGGCTTTCTAACCCCCATGACAGTCTAGTAGCTGGTACCTTGTCAAAAGCCTTACCGAAGTCTATGTAGACAACATCCACTGAGTTTCCGTTGTCTGGTGCCTCTATGCAAAATTCCCTTGCTATAAAAAGGTTTGTTATACCAGACAAACCCTTTCTAAAACCATGGTGTTCTCTGTTTAACATGCTATTGGTTTCCATAAATGCCATTATGGTCCGTTTGGCTATTCTTTCCAATATTTTAACTACAACACTAGCGAGGCTTACAGGTCTGTAGTTCGATGGAACTTATCTTGGTCCTGTTTTATGTATTGGAGTGACGATTGCCTCATTCCAGTCCACAGACAACACATCTTGGTCAATTGAAATATTGAATATTACAGTCAGATTAGCCATGATGTCTCAAGATTTTGGGGTGTATTTCATCTGGTCCTGTTGACTTTTCCATGTCTGAGGTGTTAAAAGCCTTAAGCACATCGTCTTGATCGAAGTCCACGGTGAGCATG